TTTTTTTTTTTTTTTTTTTTTTTTTTTTTTTTTTTTTTTTTTTTTTTTTTTTTTTTTTTTTTTTTTTTTTTAATTTTTTTTTTCTTTCCCCCCCCCCCCCCGCTTTATTTTTTATATTAGCAATTTAGATTTTAGTCTCCTGAGGAAGACTGACTGGAAAGCTAGAACTACTGAAAAATTTAAATCAAGATCCTGAAAACTGAGTGGTTGAGGGAGAGAGGATCTTTAAATCAGATTTTAAACTCTCTTAAACACCTGTTTAAGTTAGGAGTGGGGGCAAAGATTTAAATCTGCTTCTTCAAAAATAAGAGACTTGACCATTAAAACATTCTGTGAAATACTGCAACAAAAGCAGAAAAGGCACTCTAACTTGCCATGTATCCCCCAAAATAAAAAAGTCTTTGAGATGATTTCATTACGGGCATGTGTGTAATGACGTGATTTGTACCTGAAAGATGAGGTTAGGCTTCTGGTTTGATGACTCAGCTTGAGAACATGAGAATCAGTAGAACTGAAAACAGAGACGGCCTAAGTTGTGGACAGAAGAACTCAGCAGTAGGTAGTTACGTTCTGAATGACAAATTTTGTTGGTTGTAAGTGAGATAGGATCTTTTCAGTAATGTGAAGGGGTTGGGGTGCACTAAGATATCTTTAAAACAGTTCAATCTGATTTAGGACCATAGGCATAGATAGGTTTTCAATCATGTGATTTTTACATAAGAGTAGAGGGCAGATTTAAGTGTGTTTGAGTGTCTTGCCTGTGTATTTCCATAACATGGGGTTTTTTTCCAGTTTTTAACCTAAACGTTGAATTTCCTGTTTGCAACTGTTTATGGTTGAATTATAACATCCATCTCATGATTTCAACACTAAGTTAGTGCTGTGTGCTCTAGTCTTTAGTTCCATATTAATGTGTGTCTTTGCCTGAAAGGCATTCCTTCCCTTGATTAGAAATATATATTATGTAATATATTTAGTATCAGCAGCAGCATTCCTTTGCTGCATACTCAGTTTATTAACAAATGCTCTGAAATTTTCTCCTCCCCTCCTCCTTTCTTCAGTGATGAAGCAAGGCCAGATTTCCAGGTGAAGGTTGAAGTGTATAGTTGCTGTACAGAGGAGCCTTTATGTGTAACAAACACTCCTAAGAAACTAGCAAAGAAGCTTAAAACATCCCTCAGCAAAGCTACGGGGAAGAAACTCAAAGCTGCGCTGGAAGAAGACAGCACTGAATTGCTTTTGCCCCCTGACCCGGTCATCCAGTAAGCTATATATATATAGATATTCTGGTTTTACCGTTTTTGAAAATAGGAATATAGAAATAAAAAAAATATCCGTGATTCTGAATAAGCCAAATATATTGTAAATTTTTGGAAAATTGCCAAGAAAGTGATTATTTCTGTACTCGCCCGAGTGAAAAGAAATTTACATTTTAAATAGGAAATGAGAAAGTAGGTGTGAATTCCAACCGTGTCGCTCAGCCTTGAGGCCTGGTTCTGATTTTGAAACACACGAGTAGGCTTTTTCTTTCTGCAATACAGCTAGCTAGCTGTATTGCACTGTTATTTTCAAACTTTCTAATATTTGTAGTTTGATCTCTGGAGAAAATCAGGCTTGTGTGATCAGTCAGTCTGCGTCATCCCTCTGTCCATCTACCTCTCCATCTCCCTTTCCCATTTGTTCCCTCCCCTATATTATTTTTGCACCTCGCCAATTTTGCTCGTACCTGACGGACAGGTAGACGTGTCTAAAAGTTACAAGTAGTGTGAAATTAAAAAGTGTGGTATGTAGACAGGAGGAACCTCTCCTGTGCCCCCTCCCTGTGTGCGTAAGGGCCATTGCTGGCTTTTCAGTAAAACTCTGGGCTGTCAAAGGCGCTTCGCAGTTACAAGCCGCTTAACAGCAGTTTTCTTCATTGACTTTAGCACAGAACGTTTTAAAATGACTTACTGGTTTTCAGTGTTCATAGAAATAAGTGCCATTTCTAGTAATTTACCTGTTTCATTTTAAAAAATGATCTTAAGTCTTTCATGCATTTTTTTTAATGAAGCTAATTGCCCGCTAATATTTCCCAGCTACTTTAATTTCATTGGGATTTAAGCAGGCCAAGTGCCTCAATTGTAAATACCAGTGATACTGGGTTTTTTGGCTGAACAGTGAAGAATCAATTCTTAAATTCTTGCCAGGTGTCGAGTGTAGTTTTACTCTACCTTCACATATATCTATTTGCCTGGATTTTAAAAGGAAGCATATTCTTTGTCAAATTGATGTTACCGTATACCGATATTACTGTTTCAATCAAAAGTACACATCCAGGAGATCTTATCCACAGAGCAAAGCTAATTTTATCACTAACTTTCCCATGTGTTCCAGCTAATGACAATGTATCTTTCAATCTGCATCATCTCAGGTGGCCGCGCTTTCCACAGGCTCCAGTTGCGCGATGACACTCTGCTTCAGATATAACCACTAGCTTATTTGCTGGCCGTACCCGCTTGAATACAGATTGCCTCTCTTTTAGGGAAGAGGCATCAGCAGACAATCTAAACAGCTGCCTCCTCCCTGGGGTTTTGCTTTGGGTTTCTCAATTGGAATTGTATTTTGCTTTCTTCCGTCTCGAAGTTTGTTGTTTCTACTGTAAATAATTATCTCACAGTGGCTGTTACTTTCTTAACAGAGTTAAATGAACAATGATGACTTTGCTAGGTGATTAAAAAGGATTCTTGGGTTTTTACAGGCAAAAAATAAGTTGTCGGATTTTTTTTTTATAGGCTCCCCATAGGATTTATATTAATAAGACCTTGCTATATAGTCCTTATAAAGGGGAAGAGATTGCAAGAGATCTTTCAAGTATTCCCAGAGAGTTTTACCAGTCCAGCAGGTGAAACTAAACTGCAACAAAAAAGGGAACTTTCTGTATTATGTGAACATCTTTTCTCTGTAGATTTCATGTGTGCAGGCCTTTTTCTCTTCAGTGCACACATGGGTGAAGTTCTCCGTTTTCCAAAAACTCTGATTCCTTTGTGTCAAACTTCTTGGCTCAGAAATGCCCCTGGTTAGTGAGGAAACTGTCAGCCTTGTAAATTCTTGCAAAAGCTTAGCGACAAAGTGCTTTGAATGGTTGCTGAGGCTGGTTAACTTCAGTTGTGCTGGTGTTCTCTCTACTCTTAATTATCTCTCTTTTCATTTCTAGACAGTCTTTGCCTGCTTAATTTTTCTATTCCAGCTTCATTTTTATTTTTTTTTTTTTCTTGTTGCGTCTCTGGTAGAAGGAAAACATTTAGTGCAGTTATGCTATTTAATTCCAGAGTAACTAGGTTGCTCTTTGGATAAATCATTGGAGAGACTCCCTGAAGTGCATGTTTATTCACTTGCAGAACTGGCCTACACATGGCTTGTCGTTAGTGCCTTTTATGTATTGTCCTCCGCTGGGCTGGAGGCACGGCTTCCGTGTCCCATGTTTGCATTGGCAGATTCATAGTGATATCTGGCCAGAAGTACATAGTTTAATCTAACGGCCTCACTTTTATGGTTGGGTTCTTTTTAGTACCTGAAGGTTTTATTTGTTTTTACCTTCTATTATTTAAGATCTGATTGAAAGGTGAGCGTATTAGATTTAATTTTTTTTTTGACTCGTAGTTCCTCCACTACATATCTGGATGAGTGAACTAAGACTGGGATTTCTAACTCTGGGATTAATATTCAGGAACAGATTCTGGAATCTGAAATGTATTAATTTATGTGCATCAATAGAAAGGGTGAGATAGCTGCATCTTCCCACGCCAGTGTCTGTGTGGCAACTTTGGTGCTTCTGTCTCTTGATCAGTAAACAGATTTAACAACAAGCCTTTGCCACAGGCGTGTTGTGGAGATAAGATGATTTTTTTAAAAGAAAGTTATTACATGGTAAAATACTATAGATATGCAAAGTACTGAATGAGATGCAGCAGGCAGATTATTCTTTGTTATACAAAGAAACTGCCATTTAAGGCTGTTAGCTAATTCTGTGAAATGCAGAGGCAAAATGTAGTCAACAATCCTGATTAGCCAGTTAAATTTGAAAACTATTTGCAGATAAAACTTTTCTAAATTATATTGCAGCTGGCTGAAAGGAATGACTGTTGTATTTTAGAACGAAAATGTTACTGTGAAGCATATTTTAGAAGTGAAGTAGCTATTTTTTTTGGCAAGGTTGTTGTGGTAATTAGTCATGCTTTAGAAAAAAAGTAAGTTTAAAATCAGCACAGAAGTTTTATCTGTAAGAAGAAACTGAACTTTTTGATACAGTTTAAATATAATGGTAATTTATTGCTCAATTGCATGGGAAAACATAATCAGTGGAGAATCTTTTGATAGGGAACAGTCTAGCAGGGAATACATACAAATGCTGATGAGTTGTTGTTCAGATTGCCCTCTTGAAATATTTCACAGCAGTGGTTTTTCAACCAGATTGTTATATCCTATTTAATTTTCTCTTTATTCCCTTGAGATAGATGTGTAACAGACCTCCCTGCTAGCAAACCTGCTACTTTTCCTCCTCCTCCTCTTTCATTGTTAGGGCTAGGTGGGCATCTGCTTTGTTCCTCTGCAGAGGCAAAGATTTTAAAACCGTATGTTGCCTCTGTGCTATTAGGAAAAATAACATTTGAAAAATAATATGATATGAAACTATTTTTTAGTGATGTTAGTTCAGTAGTGTCTTACCTTTTACACCACTAAGCTGTTTTATGCTGTACTGAAGATACCTTAAGGATCTTATGCTGGATCATGTTAGGGAGAGTAATTAGTGATTTTGAGGGGTTTGTTTTCTTGTGAACTTTGTTTAAACTGCTATTAGCCAGGTGGAATTCTTACTGCGCTGCTGGACTGTAAATCTGTTACTCGGTCTGAAGAGTATTTGGGGGAAAAGGTTAAACGTGTACCAAATTTATACTAGTTTATTCCAAGAATTGCATTCCACATGCGCTGTACTGAATTGTAAATGTGATTTTTTTTTTTCCCTAGGCAAAATCCAAACCAAAGATATAACATTCTGAAACATGTAAGCATAATAAGTGAAAGAGTCCTTTATACTACAAAACTGACTATAGGATTTCTGCACACATTTCTGCATGCAAAGAGTCAAGCTAGTAGATACTACTAAAAAATGGATATATAAAAGCAACTGTTTCATAAAGTGTAATCTACACAAGCAAAGCAGAAGAGCAGAGCAACATGGAGGGGCAGTATAAAACCTTTTAATTTTTAACCTGTATTTTCAGACAAAGTTTATGTCATCAGTTGTTCTATTAACTATAGCAATTGTTGAACCTATTACCAAATCTAGTTGATTTAGGCCTTGGAATGAAAACGGTAAAACTATTAAAAGTTACTTGGTGTCTGACTAGAGGAGAGAGATGATTTGAGCATCCTCAGGGTGCGGAGAGGTTGGATAGCACAGCCTTTTGCCTGGGTTTGGCAGCTGCTGGCTCAGCAGTCAGCGTGAGCCCAGGGTGCAGGCAGTGGCCACGGGAGAACTCTCCTGGCTGGCAGGTTCAAAAGAGGTGGCTATGGGAAGGGCCACCTGATGGGGCCTTGCGGCATCGGCCTGGAAGCTGTGGGGTGGGAGGGAACTGGATTTATGCACAGGGTGGAGGCAGGAGATAAAGATCTAGGAGGCAGATGAACAGACTGTGGGACAGTGTTGGTTTACAAGGAAAACCAGAGATGCGGGAGTTCTGTGGGAAGATGCTGAGGGGTGGCAATCTGTGGTCACTGACAGGTGCTGCCTTGCACCTTGGCCGTCACTTGTACCCAATGTGTTATCTCAGGCATGTCTAGACTCCCTTTAATTACTGCCTGGGCAACGTGAAGCAGAAATGTCTTAAACATGCCTTTTTTTTCTACACTTAGTGGAGCAAAGTACAGTTTGCTAGCGTATACCACTTTGGGGCTGGAGAGTGCTGAGGACAATTTCAGGACCCACAACCTTACCATTACAGGAAATGGTAAGTACATATGGTACCAATTTAAGGAAATAAAAAACCAGTAACATTTCGCATTTTTCTCTCTTGTAAACTAAAGAGCTTAAAGAGATTATTTTTCTTGATACTTAATATAGAACAACTTTAATAAAATATTTAACGGCTCTAAAAGAGGCATCTATACACAGCTGAATAAACTGTAAGTTGAGTAAAATTTCAAGTCCAGATGAAAATGTAATTCTTTTGGGAGTTCCTTCTGTCATTTGCATCTCAGTCTTACATGAGTTGTAGCTATATACAAATTATTTCCCCTTCCTCACAAGCAAGGCAGGGTATCAGAATGAAGGACAGCTTTTCTCTCTGTAGTCAGAAGGAAAGTAGCAAACCATCTTCAGTTATAGCGAGGTTACTTCAGCCCTGGGACAGCAGGAGTAGGCAGCACTCAGCCTGGGTGCTAACACAGGGACTATGATAATGCTGCCAATGAAAGTCATGTTTTAAGTAGCAGCAGTACAGTTTTTGATACTTTGACCATTATTTTCTGAAAGGATAGCCCCTCCCCTAAGCCACTGTAATTGGTAACTTAAGGCATGAGACTATCACTGTATTTCACTGTGGCTTCTGGGAAATTTATCTTTTACTTGGGTAAACTTGACCTCAGAGAGAACTTCATTCTTTACACTTCATTAATTCTGAATAAGTACAGATTTGAAGAGTTACAGGGTATTTGTTTCTTCATAGGTTGGATGAATAATTTTGAGTATCTCTGATATTTGTAAGCCTTTCATTATTAGTACTTTATACTCTTTCTTCTTGAAATTCCTTTTAAAGTAATTAATTTACATAACTTTGGTGAGAAATGGTATACCGGGATATTTTGTTTCATTACAAGCATTTTTAAAACATGACTCTAAGACAGAGTCATGTCAATAGAACATCGTATTACCTGCTTCTAATTTCAGAAGACAGAGCCTATTACACAGTAGAGCTGAGCGAGGAGGGATATTGCAATTCATTAGAAACTCCTTGGAATCCTAAATACTCTTCTAGTACAGAAGACAGAAGTAGATACAAATTCTAAACCTTAACAAAACAATCAGAAAAAAAGTGCTCGTGTAAATGTAGCTGTGTGCCACGATGGGATGGGCTCAGGGATCCTACTGAGATGTCTTAGATGAGATGGCCAGTGTACTTATCTGTCAAAATGTTTCTAGCTGTGAAATCAAATTTAGAGCTGTATTATATATAAGAACAACTTGTTCTTTCAGAATAATATCTCCATTTTCACTTGAAATTCTTTTGTAAATTCTCTTTTTCTTTTTCTTTGATTAAAAACCTTACTGAAGACTAAAAATCAGTTTTAGTTTAATCCTATAGGATGAAATATCTTTCTTTAAATAGAAAAATGCTTATTTACATTTTTTTTTAATTATGTAAAAAGCTAAATTCTATTTTAGGCAGAATTTCAGAACTAAGTGTTTGTCCTTCTTTTGCCTGGTCTTTTTTCCCCAGAGGAATCCTCTTTTTGGCTCCCCCTGTATGGAAACATGTGCTGCCGTTTAGTTGCTCAGCCTGCCTGCATGGCTAGGGATATGATGGCAGGATTTCTTAATCAGCAGGTAAGAAGACCTTGCTTGTGTTTACATCCTCCTCGTTAATAGCTGTCACCAAGAGTCAATTGTTAAAACATTTGCATTTACCTGAAGTGGATTCTTGAGGACTGTTATTTTTCACCAGTTCTACCTAGAGCAAGGGAAAAATTCTCTCTCAGAGCTGCATTTACAGACAGTATCTTCAGTGGCTAAGCATGAAGAAATAGATGTTTCCTTGGTGTTCTTATCAATATAATTATTTAGGCTGTTACATAAAGATCAAGTATAGTTCTTGTTTCAGAATTGATTTAGGCTGGTGCTTCATGGCAGCAGTTCTAATAATCCAGTGGCTCTCATCCTTGTACGTACCTCTCTTTGTGCTGGCACAAGAGTTCATCTCACAGCATGGTGAATCTGACTGGTGAACCGAGCCATATTTAAACTCATCCCTTCAAAAATGATTCATGTGAAGTCAGTTTAATTCTCTATTTTGGTTCATTGCACAACTAGGCAAACGAGAAGGTGATAGCAGAGGGCCAGAGGGGCTGGGTCATTTGTCAGGAGTGAATTACAGGCTTTAAACAAGTTGTGAAACTATAATGCTTTTATGAAAGCTGTTAAGAAAATTCATTTAAGAAAGTGAAAATTCTGTCTTTCCTTGGCATCTGTTGAATATACTGTGTATTTCCAAAGTGAGATACTCTTTTTATTTCTCTTATTTTGTAATTAATGTAGTTAATAAAGGTGATTTCTTTCTTACAGTAGACACCAGTTCTAGATTTCATTCTGTGTGAACCAGCAGATTCTGTATTGTTAGTGTCACACTGCAATAAATCTGTGAAAACTGTGAAGCACCAAAAGACATTTAAAGTATTGTTAACCTTTCAAAAATCAGTGACTGAAATATTCTGCAACAGGAAGTCTTTGTTTTAGGAAAGAATTCAGTATGGCTAAGTTTTGATCATGCAGGGCTGATACTTATAACGATGATACTGTATGATATGCTCTTAACTTGTAGTTTATGTTTGGCAAATTCTGACTATTTCTTCTCTTTAGCAAATGATAGGAGGTCTAACTAGCTGGAGGAGGCTGTATTGTGTACTGAGAGGTGGCAAGCTCTTGTGTTATAACTCACCAGAAGAAATTGAGGCTAAACTGGAGCCAGCATTGACAGTTTCCATCAACAAGGTAAGAATGGTTGTATTGGGTTGTTTTGTTTGGGCTTTTTCTTTGTTTTGAGGGAGGTTGTTTTTGTTTTAAGACATCACTACACTCATGTGGGCTCTAAGCTGCTGGTATGCAGAGTGCTTTCTAGGTAGCATGTGGGTGGGATAGGCTTCAGTGAAATTTGCAGTTGCTGAATTTTTTAGCAAAGACGTTACATTTCTTAGTCGTGGACGTAAGTTCCTTCTATTGCATTAGACTGGTTAACATAGAGGTAAAAAAGAGGATGTATTTCTTTAGGAAAAGTAATAACTTGTTATATGACAGTTTCATAAGACAGTCCTTGGAAATGTATTGCTTACAGTCCCTTAGCAATGCTGTGGTAGACTTTTATCCTCAGCAAGGTGGAATTTTAACAAAAGCTTTTTTGTTGTTCTGTGTTATTTGGCCACAGTCTTAATTGGGAGAGCTGGAAAATTGTTCAAAATATTTTAGTGCCTTAAAATAAGCTGCTTTTCTTAATACTGGTTTTGTACAGGGCTCAATAACTTTGGAAGTTCTGTTCTCTAGGTGACATTACTGCTGCTTTTCATACCCTGATTGAAAAAGACTGAGTTTAAAATGTAAAGTTAAAATATCACTATTTGGCTAAAGAAACATTAATTATTTAGTTGTTCAATTTAGGAATGTTATTGAAAGGACCTTCTAGAATGGTGAGCATTAGAGTGAACAGATGCTTTCAAAAACTGTTTTTGGTGCAGTCATCAAGAGTTAATATCACGTAAGGACGGGCAGAAGAATGTAATGTTATTTGCAATTGATATAGCTGGATTCATCTTACCTAAGTAAATAGACACATTTGGAAACTGTAAAGCACAGGTCGATCTGGATTCTGCTGCTGTGCTACTGTGGGCATTTGGTGCCAATGCAAATTCTGAAAGCAGCCTTCCTCCTGTCCAGTCCCTCGTTCAGGCTGCTGTGCTGCTGCTTTATGCCAGGGCAGGCACTGGTGCAGCTGACTGATGAATTGGAAAAGGGAGCTGATGTGCGTTAAAATTAGATTGTTTTGGGGGCAGGAGGAGAGTTGGCTTCCACCGTGGTTCCCTTTAATGAATTCTTTTACCAGTTCACTCATGGCCACACGAATGCTTGCGTGGTACAAGAAGGGGGCTAGGCTATGACTGGGAATGTGTAGGGACACAGAGTAACATAGAACTGCCTCTTAAAACAGCAATATCAGCTTTTGGTGGCTTTAAAGTTTCTGAAAAACATAACTGCATTCTCACCTACAGTGAGACTTGTAAAAAACATAAAGCAAAACATTTAAACTAGATATAACAACATGACCTGTTTGTGTTAGGACTTCTTTTTTAGTGTGCTAAGATTTAAAATGATTCCTTAATTAAAAACACCATTCTACTAGTGCTGTATCTTTTAACAAAGCCACTTTTCCTCAATTTGTTCACGCATTTACATTAATTAAATGTTTAGATGGTGATACCTATTTAAGCAGGTTTACTTGCCTACCGCTTCAGTTGCTTCTAATTGCACTAGTCAGCCTTTGCCATAATTCTGTTCTGCAGCTGTTCACAATATCAGTTAAGAAACGGTAAACTTTAATAAATTCTAGAATTACTAAATCCATATTCTAAAATGTGACAGTAATTTTAAAAGTTATGTATCAGCCTAGCTCATACCTTTCCTTGGAGGTCTCTGTTTTGGTCTGTATCCTAATTTTGCTTATCCTTTTAAAATAACTGTATTTTGGTCCTTCAAGTTACTGATACTCTTAGAACCTAAAATGCAGCTTAATAAGCCTTTGCTGGGAGACTGTCCATACATTTGCAGAGTTATCCTTAAAGCTAACATATAGAAGGTACATAAATCATGTATTTTATACCATTTTACAAAAATGTCAGACTGCTGGAAAATATGACTGTGAATCCTTCTTCAGTTTTAATTAAAACCAGAAAAAATCTGCAATTTAAAACATATTTGGAAACTTTACCATTTAAACAGTTTCTCTTGGAAATAACTTAATGCCTGCAGATATTTTTTGATTCCTTTGTTATGAAATTTCTCTTATGGATTAAATGAAAGCAAATTAATCATATGGGCTTGTCTGCTATGTGTTGTTATAGAAACAGCAATTTCAAAATGAAAGTTGAGATTGAACATCAACTCTAGACGTTCTAACTAAAATCTCTCTGGTTGGATATGTGGCATTTTCAGTTGTAATGTGAAGCTGATCCTTTACATGTAATTGAAAGATACTTTCTGAAAAGTAATGAAATCATCTGGATTTATGAGAAACTCCCTGGAAAATATTCACACTGATAGCCTTATTTCCCATTCCCTTTGAGTCAAGACTTGAAGAAGCCATTAAGACCAGCAAAGTCATTACTTCAACTTCAGATGACTTCACTGCTACTGCTGTTGAGCAAGAATGGTTCTGCAGTTCCTATTATGCAAGTGCTACTATTATTGTTCCAGCTAAATGTGATTATAACATATTATATTGCACAACTAAGTAGGGAAAGAGAAATTATATTTTCTGTAGCAAAGAAAATTTGCTGGAATCCAATTTGAACACGAAATACTCCTTATGGGTCAGTTCCTGAAATTTTTTTGAAGTTTTTTTTTAGTTTAAAATGAATAATAAAACACCTGATAGCCTAGCAAATTGATGCATGTGCCAGCAGTTTGTGTTGGTTTCTCAGTATTTGGAATACATATTCTATTGTGTCCTGATCATAGATCATAAAACTTTTTTGTGCCACGTATGCCTGAAGCTTGAGGTATTCTGGGACATCGCTTCCAATTAACGTAGACCTGTGAGTTTCTTCCTGCCTTATTTTGCCAGTGCAGTCTTTGCTCTGGTGCCAGGCAGTGCAGCAGGCCCAGAGCTATCTCCATGCTCATGTTAGTTCTTGAGGTGAACAGGATGAGAAACAACAAGTGTTTGCAGCCATGGGCTCAGGGTTCATAGACTGGTTGCTAAACGGTGTAGCAGAAGTGGAAGGACAAAATCAAGCTGGCATTTCTGCAGACTGTTACCTCAAATGACAGTATTTGTTGGAACATCTGTTCTGTGCTAGGTCAGGTAGAGAAATTAGTTTGAAAATGTAGTGATGGCTACAGCAGCGTAACTTCAAGGGAACCGTGCAGTATTTCTGTAGAACCAGGGAGTTCACCCTCAGACGCCAGCAGAAGGATATCACAGAATGCTGGGGTTGGAAGGGACCTCTGGAGATCATCTAGTCCAACCCCCCTGCCAGAGCAGGTTCACTTAGAGCAGGTTGCACAGGAACGTGTCCAGGCAGGTTTTGAATGTCTCCAGAGACGGAGACTCCACCACCTCCCTGGGCATCCTGTTCCAGTGCTCTGCCACCCTCAAAGAAGTTTCATCTTATTTTTAGATGGAACTTTCTGTGTTCAAGTTTGTGCCTGTTACCTCTTGTCCTGTCACTGGGCACCACTGAAAAAAGACTGGCCCCATTCTCCTGATTGTTACAAGTTCTTGACCATGTGAAGGAGCCATCAATATGAACAATATTCTCTGTGTGCCTCAGGGAACTCCAGCAGTGGTGAAATGAGAGCAGCCCTGAAAATACCTGTGTTCTCTGTGGTAAGGACTTTGTCCAACTGGTTGGCTTAGACAAGCCTTCATACATGTGAAAATATTTTGGGAAGGCATAGACTAATTAAGTGCCTCCAAATATTTGGACCTTAATATTGCTAATTTAGTCCTGCAATTGCTTGAAAGAGCTTGTGGATGTGGGCAAGGAAACCTATATAATACCCAGATCCCACGTGGTGGACCTTATAACACGTATGCTCAAATGGGGTGGTTTGGAAACTATGCTTCATGGCTCCACAGAATGCTGAGTAGTCATGTAATGCCATCTCCTTCCTCTGGATTTTAGCTGCTGCATTGCATCAAAGATGGCTTAAGTGCCATAGAAATTCTAATACTGCTTTTCTGTATCAAACTTACACATTATAGTTACCATCCAGTGGCCACAAGGATGTTACGTTAATACTTGTTCACAAAGCAATGAAGATGGAATGAGGAAGTATTCATAGCTGATCTGGTGAATTTGATCTTGTGCATTAAGGTTTTTGAAAGCCATAATTTTAAATTTAACCATATTTCCTCACTTGCCTAAAACAGACCCCATGGGAATTATTAACATTAAAGCAGAAACCAACACATGAACAGAACATATTTTGTTTCCAGTGTTGTGTTGTTATTTCTTGGTTTATTTTGTTGGTACTAAAAATATGAAGGAAATTTGTTATATGTAATTTGGTTTGTTTTATCTTAAAATAGATACACAGAACCAGATCATAGGTTATTCAGTATTTTTCTCAAGAACTGTAATTTGTTCTGATGTCTTAAAATGATCTTTATAACCAGTGCTCCTCAGTGTGTCAAGATTGACTTAGCAGGAAAGTGTTACACATCAGCAATAAAAAATGTCTCTCTCTCTTTTTTTTTTTCTTTTTTTTTTTCCTTGTTTTTGGTTTCTTTTTAGCTTAAAAGATGAGCTTCCCAAAGAGGTATTACCAGGCACAGAGATTTTTTGATTTTGCGGGAAAAGTATAGAGGAAAGGTTGTATTTACATCACATTTAAAAAAAAAAAAAAATCTAATATTTTCCCTCTTAGTCTTTCCCCACCTTCAAAAAAATAATCTTTTGCATATAGGGCATAAAACTGGCTTCAGCTTCCCCAAAAGAATAATTTGAGTTCAAGATTCAACTCTGTTTTTCCAGTTCTGATCTTTACAATTCTGTTCTTTACAACAGCTGTAGCAGAGTTGGTTCAGTTGTCTGTAAGACTGCGTGAAGTTGAGCGTTATTATAGATGCCTTTTTGCTTATGTTTGGAGTTCTTGTTTGGTGGCAGTTTTGGTGGTTTTTTTTTTCTTTTCTTTTTTATTTGTTAAGTAGAACTGGGCATGTGGTGTAATTCACCCAAGCTTGGTATATTCATCATGCCATTACTGTAATGGCCTCTTGTATCACTCCTTAAATATTTAAGCATCAGATATAGATTGTTGCTTTAGGATTCATCTCCTTTGAATAATACCATAGTTGTGGGATAAAACCTGCAGCAAACGTCATTAAATAAACTTGTGTGTATGGTGTGCTTGAAGTTCTTACCTGTCAAATGTTAATCTATTTGATTTAATTTTTTTGTTGGTATCTATGGTTACCTGAGTTAATGGGATATAGAGCACTTATGGATGAATTACTTCATCTCCTATTTTTAGACAGAAGAATTTAAATGAGCATATCCATCAGATATGCTACAAGCAGCTGTTGGTATTTCAAATGGTTACTTCAGTAATGCATTTAAAATCCAGGGAATGTTCTGTAGAATAATTTTTGTTTTTCTGAATATCAGAAGTAGGCTTATCCCCATGGGATCCCATGTGTAAACTTAATTTCTGTAGGTGTATGTTTAACATCTTTAGCAGATGTTTGACATTTGGTTGAATTGTGTAAAAAGGAACATGATTAATCTGTCCCCACTGTATTTTGAGGAATGCCCCAAGGCCACCTTTGTGGTCAGATTCTCTGTCCATCTGGACAGGAGACGTTTGAACACAACCCTGGCTGTGGTTGTTGGCTTCCTTCAAAACCTGGGGCACTCCCCATGCCAGGGGACACCCTTGCATGGTGTCCTTTTAAGAACAGTGTTGTAATAGGCCATCTCTTGTTCAGCCAGGTTAAATTGTATATGCAAAGATATTCCCAGAGTTTATGCTTTAACTCTCATAAATAAAAAGAATGTTAATTATTTTAATTTTTTCATTATGTTGTGATGAGCAGCAATGTTGACCAGTTGCGTTCTGGAAATTTTTTCAGTTGTGTGTTATATTAAACTTCTACTAAAATCTTTTGGTATTTTACACATGAAAAAAACCAAACAAACCACTCAGTTAAAGGTAAGTGCTTTGTGCTTTTTTTTTTGTTGTTGTTGTTGCCATAACAAAGAAACTAAATAGTATGAAAACACCACTGGATCTAGTCTATATGATAAAAACCAATTGACCTATGTCCCCAAAAAGAAGGGGAAACCTTTGCTGTAACAGTGCTGCTGCATAATCTGAGAGCCTTTCTAACATTAGCTGAAGAAATTTGATAGACTTGTGATGTGCTTCTCACATATATTTTTAATTGTTTCTATGTAGCTCTCCCTAATTAGGGCAAAACCAAAATGTCTATTTTGAAATGACAAGTAGAATTTTTTAATATGAGAGCAAAATGGGTTTTTGTGCTGGAAATTTGTTCTAGTACGGGTAACTGCTACAAATGTTCCTGTAAATGTGGACTAGATAAGTTTCTTTTTAGATTTCCTGTCACTGTAGTATTAGTCCTGAATGCCCTGATTCACTAAGATGAACATAAAATAGGTGTGAATTTAGAATACATTGCATACATAATGGCACACAGAAATACAGTAGGAGACCTAAATGGTAGCTGTAACAATGTGGTTGTCCAGCTGAAGAGTGCAGAGAAAAGGAGCTGCTTGCTGTTATTTTAGATTATTCACCAAAATACTGTGGAGAAGAATGAGCTGCATGAGATCAGCTGGTGAAGGCAGAGGGAGGGGAAACCTAGAACGTATATTCTGTAATTTCGAACTAAACAGCGATGATAGTGCTCCATTCCCTTATTTTTCATGCTTTATGCCACTATTATAGTTCTATGAGAAAATATTTTTATAAGCAGTTCTTGAAATCTTCCAAAAGCAGAAGTTTTTATTTGGGCTATTGTCAAGGCTAGCTATAGTTACATCTAGGTACTTAATGCCAAATGCCACAGAATCCCAATGTCATCAATATGTACCATTTATTCCTGGGATTGCTCTGGTCCCTCTCTTCCTCCGGTGGGTCTAAACAATAATCCTTTCCTTTTTTTTTTTTTTTTTTTTTTTTAATTGGAAATTTGGCCATAAGGTGATGCCAGTGTGGAGCTGAAGCAATGACTCATGGCCACAGTTTGTCGTTCCTAGGAAACCAGAATTCGAGCTGTGGATAAGGACTCCAAGAGAAGAACTAATAACTTCTCTGTTATCAACCCTGTGTCTGGAGAGGCTGTGACGCGACTTTTTGCTACTGACAGTAGGGACGACCTTCAGAAGTGGATGGAGGCTTTCTGGCAGCACTTTTATGATCTGAGTAAGTAAGCGAGCAGTGCTGGCAGCGTGCCCTCCACCATGGGGCGTTAAGTAACATCAAAGGGATCTTTGAACAATTTGAGTTGGAATTGCCTCATAAGCCTTTGTTTGCAGCGATGAGAAGGAAAATGTTCTTTGGGATAATATTGGGTGGTGGTCTAAGCCGTTGGAAGGCAAATATTTGACTAAACTGAAGTTCAGTCTGGGGTTTTGTAGGAAACCAGAAGCGGAATACGTCCATCAATCTCAAAAGAGCTTGATCTCTTTCAGCAGTGTTCTAGATATTTTTTTTTTAAGGACTGCTAAATTCTCATCATCAATTCCTCCACTGTAGCAGGGAGAGTCCACCTCTGCCTGGGCCTCCTACCAGTGCTGTGTTGGTTTTGTGAGATTCTCCTTTGGGTGTGGAAGCCTTGGTGGGAAGCGATGAGGATGCTGGATTCATCTGGGGCCTTGGCTAGGATGCAGATTCAGCCACCCCTTGCAAGTAGGCACATGTATATGGGATTTCCTTGCTCAACGGTATTATGGATGAATTAAATCACAGTTTGTTGCAGCAGGGATTACTTGATTCTGTTGGTAATTCTGAGGTTTTTGTGCCCCTTGTCTCATGAGAATATGCTCACCTAGGCACACTCCCGTTGTGCAAATACACGCTGCTTACTTGAACCTGTTAAAAGCTGTACCTGAGGCTTTGTAACAGATGATATAAATGAGATGATAAACTGATACCCTGATCCTTTGGCTAACCTCAGGAACAACACACTTACTGCATGAGAGAAGAAACTCATTTATTGGTGTAAAACAGTGAAACAGTACTGAAGTATTATACCGTGTTGCTTGTTTAACACAAAATATTTATTATAAGAACTACATAGATTAATTTGTCTTGATCTTTTTCCTCTGCTTTAGTAGTTTGACTAACGGGTTTATTAAGAGTAGAGAACAACTGTCAGTTATTATGCTGTCATCGACAAGGTATAGTTGGTTCCTGACAGTCAGTTTTATCAGGTCAGAAAACAGAACCAGGTCAATTAATGAAAAATCAGTCTTTAGTCAGAGGCCACACCAATAAAATCAGTGAATTGAGGTTGTGGAAACTAGGTATTATAGTTCGTATTTCTAGTCCTTTCTAGCACTGATTTACAATGAGAAAAGGCTCTATCAATTAAAGAAACACACCAAGCAAAAACTAGGGCATCCTCTTTAAATTAGCTGTAGAGTGGGGTAGAAGAACTACTTCTTATTCATTATAGATAGAATACCCATGGATTTTTTGAGACATTTTCCTTAGGTTCAGAAAAAATGGGTCACTCGGCATTTAAATGCCTTTTTTCTTCCCTGGTTCTAAAATTCTCTTAAAATTAATGTGCTCAGAAAACTTGGAATGATTGGTATGAACAAAGTAATTTTACTGTCTTGTTTTCCTTAAGGTCAAAATCTTATTAATAGAAAAAGAGGTTTCCTTGTCTGCTAACGGATAAAAGGCAAGTTATCCTCTATTAAAGACAGCACGTTCCTTTACTGTAACATTGTTGTATAACATCCAGCTTGCAGTATATTGGAGGTTGTCCCTGAGAAGTTCATGAAGCTTCACTAACCTTGAATTATTATATTTCTTTTAGGATTTTTTTTTCTGATGAATTTATACTGTGTTTGAGGATTTGAAGGCAAATTATGATATTTAACCTTTGTAGTATAACAGTACTGCTGGGATGCTTAAGTTGAAGTTGTAGTATCTTACGACCTTTGTGCTAAGAGTTAGAATGAGCACTGAGTTGAAAATACAAAAGCATCCTGAGCATTCCTGCTAAACAACAGCAAATGCTTGCTGTTTAGCATTGCTTTGGAGATGGTTTCCTAACACAACCTAATAACTTCAATTTTTTTCAAGCTGAAGTGTTTAAGTTCCAGTCATTGTTCTCTTTTCTCTCTCAGGCCAGTGGAAACATTGTTGTGAAGAACTTATGAAAATTGAGATTATGTCACCACGGAAACCACCTTTGTTCTTGACAAAAGAAGCGACCTCCGTCTACCATGATATGAGTAAGTGGGATTTGTCTTTTCAAGTTGCAGGGTAACAGAAACAACATTGTCTGTATTCAGATGGCTTCTGGTGTTATGTTGAAACATTGAGTTTTTCAAGGGCAATTCAGACAATGAACACAACATAATTGCATACCAAGGAGTTCATATTAAATCTGAATTTGTAATAGCACAAATAACGAATACATTTTTTACTTTGAGCCAAAAAAAATCTGCAATCTGGACTTTAACTGGTGAGCCCTGAACACATTCAAAAAAGCTGTCACTAGAAATAAACATTCATCGTTAAGTGTAGTATAAAGCTCAGGAAATATAAAGGTAAAATAGTCTGGTCTGCAAACCAGTAATGTCTTTAACTAGTTGCATGAGATTAATTTGCTGTTCACAAAGCTATTTAAAGGCTTACCTAACATAACTGACTTAATTGTTTGGTCTTTGGTAATGACGTTGAAAAATATGCTTGGAAAATCTATCCAGCATTTATTTGAGACTTCTATTTTTACAGAGCAAAATGGTATGCAGCAGGATTATTTTAATAGTTTCATTACAGAAATAATATTTACAGACTAAAAAAGTAGGTCACTTTGTTTTAATGGATCCAGTGCAGTATTGGCTGAGAAACACTGTACAGCTCTAAGTGCCTGACTGCTTGCTGCTTGAGATTGGACCTGTGAAGATGCTCAAAATGCCATGTGGGTCATTGAGTTACCGTGCATCAGAGCATGGAAGAGTCCTGTGAAAGCTAGGAATGCAGAGCAGAAAAGGCAATAAATCAAGTATGTAGAAGTTTTACGAAGTTGACACTGTAGCATAATTCTACTGATACTCAAGTACGTCAGTGAGAAGCAGAACACAAACTCTGTTTCACTCTTAATATACCAGGTTTTTTCCTGCTTATTTGTAGTATTAATAGGCAAAAGCCTACATTTAAAAATGTGTTGAAAATCATTAACATGTAAACCCCAATAGAAAAGATACTGTTTAGAGGCTATTATTACAGCAGTATACATAGAAGACTCAATATGAGGGATGAGAAATGGAGCAAGACAGTCTTAAAGCATATAAAAAAAATGATATATGTAAAGATGTCCCAATTTCTGCAGGCTGGAAGCACAAGAATATTTAGTCATCGACTTTTTCATCTGCCTTCTGTGAAATGAAATTTTCAAAACACTATACAACAAAATATGTTTAATACCTACTATATATAGATTTCCTAGTACTACCTTATTTTTTCTACTTTTACTTGGAAAGCAATATCAATGCCTACCCGGTTGCCTCAATGCCAGCTATCAGGAAAACAGTTCCCTTGTGTCACCTGAGTTCTCTCTTTGAAAGCGTATGTGTAACCTTTGCCATTTCATCCATTAGTACTATTAGTAGTAGTCCAGACTTCATGAGACATAGTTAATTCAGCTTTGTATTCTGAATAGTAATACCGAAATAGGTAGCAGTAAAATTATTGGTAGCTTTTTAATCCGAGTTAATTGCTGTCCCTTAAAATTACAGGCATTGATTCTCCAGTGAAACATGAGGGCTTAGCTGATATCATACAAAGAAAAATCGAAGAGAGTGATGGCGAGTTCCTGCTTGGCCAGCAAAAAGAATCTGCATCTCCCTTATGGGCTTCGCTCTTTGATGGATCTCATGAGATGGTTGTTCAGAAAAGCACGCATCCAGGCTCAAAAAAAGATACTGCAAGTCCTGTTGATGGCAGAGGAAAGAAAAGAAGAGCTCCACCTCCACCCTCTGATAAGTTACCATACAGTGCAAAAGCACAGGTGAACACAGAGCAATTGGGCAAGGAAAACCAGAAGTTTGACTGCACATCTGCTAATAGTTCTTCCTTTGATTCAAAATTATCTACAATAATGCAGCAGTTGCAGACACCCATTGCTGCTGCTCGCAAAATTGGTCCTTGTAGAAAAAACAGTTTAGCTGGCCCTGGGAATCCCATTTCGTTGGTTACCAAGACTGAGTCGGAAACCAAACCAGTACTAACCCCTAGACAGAAATGCATTACAGAAATGCTAGACCCTAGATCATGGTTGCAGCCATAGAAACCATAATTAGCTTAGAGGAGTTCCTGAAATCAAAGGTTTCTCAGTCTTATAGTATAACTCTTGAATAAAAATAGACTTTTTTAACATAAAGCTTATAATTATGGAGGCTAAAGTTGTTTTTTTTTTCTTTTAACCAGGGCATTACTACTAGCTGCAGTCTCAGCTGTACTCATTATCGCTAACATCTAAATAATTGCACTGGTAACAGAGGGGGGTTATCCGTATCTGAAATAACGGTGCTATTCCTGAAAAGAGCGGTTCAGTACTTTCTTCTTGAAAAACCAGCAGTGTTAGGGTAACTCAGTGTCCCTGCAGCAGGGATGTGACCATTGCCTTCCAGCAGTCCCTCAGCTTAGACCATCTGCAGCTCCTCAGACTAGTTCAAATGGGAATTTCACACATATTCAGCACAGATCTTGCAAAACTAATTTTCTTGGGCTCCATGCTTGTCTTCACCTAAAATATTCTTCTCTCTCCCTCACTGTTTGGGAACCACTGCTTATAAGTTAATGTCCTATGAAAAGTTATTGTGCTCTTCTGAATGGCTCTGTAACTCCATATGAATTTCTGAAGGAGTTCTATCAGTTTAGTGTGGGATCTCCTAAGTTCTTGCTGGTGCGTGCGCTGACCGAATAGACCAGGATTTTCTGTGTTTGAGCAAGAATGTGATCCATCACTGCTGCTTATTTTGGACTAACGTGAACATATAAAGCAGTACTGCATATGAACACCTATTCAGGATTTCATTGTTATGGTAGTATTTTCTGATGAATGGGGATCTGTAGCGTGGCTTCTCCTTTGTGGAGCCTCTCAGCTGTTCCTGGTAGATAGCTGGTTTGTAAACACGGCAGTGTTTCTGGTTAAGAAATTGGGGTTTTTCACCAGTTGTTCTTTCTGAAATAACAGAGAATAAGTATTTCAGGTGAACATATTGAACTTTGATATTTTTCCGTCAGGCTGTTCAACATTTTTGTAAGAAGCATGGGCTATTAGGCTTCCTGTGGCACCTGCAAAACATCTATTGCATACAGAAAAGATTCTGTCCTTCTGGATCCACAGCTTAAATATGCAACCTTTCCCTTGGTTGATGCATTTATCTCAGATGCTGGAACATATCCAAGAGCAAAGGTATGCTTGCAGATGTCCCTCTAGAGCCTTGGTATTCAGACCTGTGTTGAGAGAGTCATACCAGCAACTTTATACATAAGCTTCTTTTTTTTTCTTAATATTTTTATTTTTCTTTCTAAAGTGCAGGTTGCTTTGGGAGCTTTACCATTTCTCCAGAAGATATTGTGTGCATGGTTGGTTTGTTTGTTTTATCTATTTTTTGTCTTCTGCTAAGCTCTTGGCTGCACAGCTGTGAAGGTATCTGCTGAATTCCCTCAGTAGTTCATTGGCTATTTGGGATGGGGCTTGAGAGGCAGGTTTCATTTACAAATCCTTTTGCAGGATTAGAGCCCTTCGTTTCTAGAATGTCCTTGTTCATTCTTCATTTAATCACATTCCATTTTCACTCTGAAACAGCCATAATCATTCTTACAATAAATCATGCTGTTACTTAAGTGGATGGTTTGTGAATGGTTTATAAATAGGAACAGAAAAACTGAAGAATAACTACATGATTATGTAAATTAGACACAGTCAACTAAGTGGACTGTGCAACTCTGAACAAGAAATAGGAAAAATAAACGGGGGGGGGGGGGGGGGG